CATGAATTAGAACTAAAATATAAAGTTATTTCAGTTGTAATATAACAGATTTGTGAAAATTACGTATTAGGTGCTAGCAGCCGGATATAATTTAATCAGTAGATAGGGGGTTCTTTAATTAGGTCGTAATTTTGCTGTACGTTTTGTTTGTTAGGGGCCCCTGGCATTTGTTACGGTCTAAACGAAACACGACTATCGATTCACACTTTCTGCAACATTAAATTGTATTTTATAGTTGAAATAAAACTCCGACACGTGGTTACTTTAATTAATGTGACAAAATAAAACGACTGTTAATGTAAAATAATTATATTTTTTATTTCATAAGAATTAACTAGAACTTTCTTAGAATGGTGGTAATGATATCTGAGCTCAAATCTTGATATTCTGAATTGTGATTTGTAACCTGACTGTCTCAAAATGTTTCTTGTCTGTTTTTTTCTTCTTTTTAAACGATTTTGGCGATATAGTAGTTTCTTTGTTTTACCTTCTGATAGTTCAATTCAGTGACCAGTCAATACTAATAACAACTAGTTCTATTCCGTGTCTTTGCCCGCTTGAATTAGTATATAGAGTATTCTATATGTTAAATTGTTAAGCTGGGATATGTTTTATCTGTGTACCATTCAACCGTTAAAGCGTAATTGGCTAACAAACATTCAAACATCCAAATATGTTTACAAACTTTCACATTTATGGTCTTAGTGGGATTATTATTGGATTGTGTATATGAAGCTAAATGTTCTTTACGTTCTAATGTTATTAATGGCTTGCTACAATAGTTTATTCGTCATTGCTGACAAACAGATTTGACAAACTGACCGATACTTTTTAGACACATCGTTTGGTCACGTTTCTTTTGCTGTTTCAATAGGATCAAAGAAACTGTAGCCTCATTCATCTCAGTACTAACTATTGTACGTTTTGTCATGCATTTGTTGGTACTCTTTTTACCATGTTATGAAGCTCGTTTTGTGATCGATTCTAATTTATTCTTTTCACTGCTACGGATAAATGTACAGATAATTAACTGTATTTACAGTAACACAATAATATCGTTAATTTTAATTCAATGCTATATCTTTAATTTAGTTTAACATTCTTATTTAGATTGCTATTTACTATTTAATGTTATTATATATATATATATATATATATATATATATATATATATATATATATATGTACATTTGATATGTAAGTATTATTGTAGTCCCCATAAAACCTGTACTGAGAGACTAGTAAATTTTTTAACGAAATAAAAAAATTATAATACTTAAGTACTTAGATCGTTTTTATTAAATCTTATTTGATTATCAATCATTAAATAATGTGTATAAGATAATGAATGGTAGTAAGTGAAGAAACGATTATTATCAACATATCAAGAGTTAACTAATTATTTTATTTATGGTATCCACCGTAGTGAACGTATTCACAATATTGCTGCAAAAGTATCACAGTACAAAAACAAAGGTGGGTGAGAGTAACTTAGGAAAGGATCACGTCCTTATATCAGGTTACCTGCCTGGACATTCACGCTTCTATTTATGCTATTGTAAAAAAGAAACTACTCATAAGCATATAGGTAAGGCCCGCCCGACGTGCTTTGTTCAAGACGCACCCCAGCTTTGTGGGGGCACAACGAGAACCTGTTTCCGAGTACTTTTACAAGACAACAAAGGGTTTTAATTGTGTGCGGTGATATGCACTATCGTAATAAGTCTAAGAGTTATGTTAAAAGCGAAAATAATAAAAGGTTACTGTGTAATAGGTACGGTAGTTGCGTATTTTTGCAGTAACGAAATGTGTCATGTTAATGCAATACGATTACACCGGATGCTTTATCAAATTGTTCGCGGACGAACATAGTGTTATTTCTGATACAGTGCTCTCAAAAGATAACACAAGTGAAAACAAGCATTTTGATACTGTTTTTCAATATATTCGTAATTACAAATAGTACAAATTATGGTACAAAGATAACTTTATAATTTTTTTAGAATTGTAGTTTATGTACATACCTACAGTATATATGCAATACGAAACCAAAAGCGAAAGTTTATGATTTTTTCTTTTCGTTGTTCATTTGTTTATCAATTTGTGTGGTCAGGTTTCATTTAAAGACGACAGGAATGATTGATAATGAAATTCATGGTAATGAAAATTTTATAGTATACATTGAGTAAAATTGAAAACAAAACAAAAAATACCTAGCTTGGAAATAAATGTACAACACAAACGAAAGTGAGTATAGTTAGTTTCTAATATATTTGTAAATACTTAAAGCAATTTCGGTCTATATAAAATGGTATATATATTTTATTTGTTCTCTCAGTAATTAGTTTCGGTCGGTTTTGGCTTTCGCGTATTCGGATATGTACTCAACTGTATTGTAGGAAGGAAACGTAGATCAAATAATTACCCACATTCCAGGGAATACTAGAATATTAAACGGCCCATTCATTTCGAACGGTGACTGCACGCACTCTAGCCACGTTCGACTACTTCCTCGTTATTTTAATTCATGTCTATGTGCGCTTTTGTAATCGAAGATGAAAGTGTATTTTCTATATTTTATTACATTTTAATAGGTCTTTGTGTCTTTCATATCCTTTTATAGTTTTTATTCAAATAATCTTATTTTATATTTCTTATCTCAGCCTAAGTCTTTGAATGTTTCATAATCATGTTTTTATCATTTTAAAAATCATCATTTGCTTCATGCTTCTTAGGGAACGTAAAATCTTCATCCAGTAAACCACATCAGAGGTCTTTGTGTGAAAAGAAAGTGGCCTATAAACTCTTGACACCAAAAGGCACTACCCTTATATGCGTGTTTATAGTATAACAGTTACTTAAATGTAATCTGATGTATATTTTTTATTTGATATTTACTGTTCCATTAGATGAGTGATTATTATTTATCCTTGTTAAACCCATTCAGTGCGAGCTCAGGGCGTCTACGATCTCAAGGTCTGAGAAAGTTAAGTGCCCGTCGTCGAGCATTACCTTCTCAGTCCCTAAAGTCTGTTCTATAATACTCGTATTACGAAAGATTATTGTAACTGAAGTGTTGAACTAAGATGTAGCCTGTTGTCAACTACTATTATGTACAAAATATGACATACTTTTATCAGTAAAAAGAATTGTCGAATTTCAGAATTTTTTATCGTTCATCTGAAAGGGAATAAGTATTAGTATCTTAGAATCATATTTAAGGACACTGGGACAATTTAGCAAATTTTTAATGTTTGTATAAATTCACTTAAGGTTTTAGGTAAAGAACAATATTTGAAATTTCACAGGATAGTGTATCCAATAATTTGTTATGAAAATATAAGTTTATAATAATGAAACATCTATTAATTTTTGACCAGTTAAAGACTTCGGTTCGGAATTAGAAGTTGAGAGTTTGTAGATTTTAGTTTGTTGAAACAATTCGTAAACAAAATAGGTAATCTCTGTTATCGATTACTATAGTTCTAATTTTAGTTATTATAGATATTCATGCATATCAGATATTATACACAAGAATAGACTCACTATATTGCAGGCTTCTATATGAACACAGTGCATTTATTTCTGTCTCTTTCAAAAGTGCAAAGTTAGGGGGTGTGAGCGAGATGGAAATTCCGAAAGGTTTCGCCGCCTAACCCAGAAGACGCCCGCCCGCCCAGTTGGCACCGGTGAGCTGCCCTGAGCACCCACGTTACTGTATCAAATTATTTATTTCTGAAATATATATTCTAATACTTTTGCCACGTAATCTGTTATTGTATGTTTTTATATAATACACAAATCGATAGGTAAGTTTCTAGCTGGTTCATCTTTATACTTTTATATTATTTACTAGTTATTGGAAGATAGTAAAAATCAACTGTTTTTCGTTTTTGTCTTGTTATAGTGCTTTTAAAGGTTACATTTTGAATACGTGTTGCATGATAACTAAAATATTGAAAGTAAGTTAGATTATAAATTGTTTAATTTTATTGTTTCTCAAATAAAAAGTGTTTTTATCAAATGTGTTCGAACGAATTATTTAAAACAATTTATTTCATGCATCGTCTAATGTATTTCAATAAATTTGCGTGTAGGGTGTAACAGTAAACTTTACGTCAACATTTCACGGTTACGATTATATTACAACATGCAATTTAGTAACTAACATATGATTTTGTTTAGTTTACACATTATATTGTGTATATATATAATTACGCTTCTGTATTAAGTATCTATATGATTACCACGTATGTACTTATGATGCAATGCCATTATTAAAAAATCGTATAACATCAAATGAACATAACGTATATTTTTTTTTGTTATTTTTGAAATACTAGATTGTTTAGTTTCGCTTTTTTGGAAGTGTTTATTGATATACTTTTTGTTTAATTTTAATTCTCTTTCTTGCTTATGAAGCTTCAAAGAATTGGTTACGCTATCTAAAGATTATTTCCCTTTTACCACACTGGCAGTCTGATGGCGGATGTCGCCTCTCATTGCATCAATTGTTGTTCAGAGAAAAGGGTGACACCCTCCTACGCACGTAGATACCCTTATTCATCTGGAAACTCAGCCTGTTACACACTTTATAAAAATCTTTTGCTGTACTTTTTATTATAGTTTATTTGAACGAATATAAGCACGTATGTGTTCTTGTGCTTCAATTTGTTTATTATAATAGTATTTTAATAGTAATTAATAAACGTCATTATTGTTCGGGTTATCTACTATCTTAATTATTTAATTTAGTTGGCATACCGACTGTGTTGTGTAACCCTTCTATTCTAAACCCTCGTGACTGCAAGCAAGTTCCCCTCGTAATTATAATACCTTTAAAAGAAGGGTGCGGTTTTTTGCCACACAACATTGCAAAATATACAAGGCTTATCGTTTACAAAGGTATATCAATTTTGGTAACCTTGAAAGTATTATCGTGCTAGGTATATTTATAGTGGTTTATTATTTTGATTAATTTTCCTTTTTTCTTGTTCCAGTTCACCGCCTGGGTCGATGCCGTAATCTTCGTGTTCAGTCTTGACAACGAAATCAGCTACAATACTGTTTCAAATTACTTCAATAAAATGTCCCATTATAGGAATTCAGCGGAAATTCCAATCATATTGGTTGGCACTCAAGGTAATTCTCTTTTACATTTAAATGAATTCAATGTTTAAAAGGCATCAACAATTTGTATTAGTCTAAAATGAGCGTAATAGTTAATTTTCTATCAAATGATTGGTTGCTATTCCAGATGCCATAAGTGAAAGTAGTCCACGCGTTGTGGACGATAACCGCGCTCGCAAGTTGTCTAACGAACTGCGAAGATGTTCCTACTATGAGACATGTGCTACGTACGGCTTGAACGTGGAGCGGGTTTTTCAAGATGGTAAGTAGACATAAAATGATAGCAAGACCACTTTTATCTATGTTATATTATCACGACTAATCTGTAATTGATTTTTGTTATTTACATTGATTTACAATATTCATTATAGTTATTCACCAATATCGAAGAAGATCAGAATTAGAATCTTGGATTTTTTATGGGATGATAATGGAATGATAACAACGCCTGTACTGTCGGTATATGTTATCGGGGCGCCAGTGAGATATGATAGAGATATGATTTTTCTATTTACATTGCGCTGCTAGGTAATATAATACAATAAAATCATAGAGGTTCTTGACGTTTAAAGGGGTAATCTGTTATTATTTACATTTCTTTTTATTTTTACGAAAAGTAATAATTTAATATTTTTAGGTGTACCTAATTAAAATTTCATAATACCTATCATCATTAGAATAAAATAAATGCGGTATGTGTTAGGTAATTATGCAATCGGTTTGTTTGTATAATTAGTAAATATATAATTCTTTACTTACACAACTTTTTGCTTTATAAAAATATTTTAATCAATATCTACTATTTTTTGTAAATTTAAAAGTGTATGAGAATGTATAATCACAACAAAACCCATATTTGCAAAACACGATTGCAAAATTGGCAAAAATACGTATTGTCGCCTAATAAACACACAAAAAATACAAGCAAATTGAGATCCTTTTGAAGACAAACATAATTACTTAAATATTTTAGAAACTAACGTTGTAAATGACATTACATAATATAATGGTAATTCTTTTTATTGCTATTGACTCGCGTGCCTCATGATGAGATAGTGAATAGGCCTGTATAGATAGTTCAGTATACTAGTTGATCTTGTTTCGACGCGGGCGGGGAATTCTAGCGCGAACAGTGGTAACACCGGCCCCCAGCTGCGCGGTCGTTCGTTTCGTTCATTCCATTCGCTTTGTTTACATTTTTTTGACGATAAACGCTCCTTTTCGTTTAATTCGTTTTTCGTATTTAGAGGAATTTTCGAATTCTGAATGGAGAAATGGATAAAACACTCATTTTTAAGACTAACATGTCACCGATAGGTAGTCTGAGACGCCGGAGTACTTGTTACAATATACAGAGAGCCGAAGAACGCGATCGTCGAAAATCAGCAAAATTCGAATGTGCGTGAATATTTTTTTCAATTTACCGTTTCGACGTGTTCCTTTTGCGATGTATTTTCGCTAACGGAAATCGTTTTGTTATTGGGTGTTTGTGCGGTGTTTTAAAATAGTGTATTGTGTTGCAGCATGCCAGAAAATCGTCGGCACACGGTTGTCGGCGTCGTCGCAGTGTTTATCTGGCTCTAGGCCGGTAACTCCACAGCCCCTAGCTAACTCTCCAAGCCACAACCATTCTTCATTTCTTTATAAGGTAAGATCGCTTTTTTATTTATTAAATATAGGGCCACTCACACTATGGTAACAAATAATTGTATAATTGTACAACCTACATTTTTTATCAATAATAAAGCACTATATAATAGTAAAAAAATAGGAAACTCAAAATAAAATCCTATATTAACCCACCTGACCTGAATGGTGATAGTTTGTTATATCCTCTTATGGGGAGAGACTTGTCCCCAACAGTAGTGTGTTATGGGAATATTAAGGATTGTATTAGATAGTGAGATAAAAAAATCAACAGACATTTCAAGGGACTTGACAGCACGAAAGTATAATGAAAAAAAATGTGTGAAGTGTAAACATAAAAGAGGTTTAGTTTCTAATAGGGTTTTTAGGATATGTTAGGATCATTCACCTTCACCGTGTTGATATCAAACTAAAATATTTAAAATGAAACTACTAAGGGAATCCACTGACCAAATTATTTAATGTCCATAAAATACAGATAATAATGTTATTTTAGGTTCAAAATAATAGTATTTGAAATAGTAAGTTACTTACAGTCCTATAAATAAATTTTTGTAGGATAGTTTTGTTCTCGGATAGAGTTTTCAAATAGAATTTGTATTCACAGTTGTATGTACACCTCATTAGGTCAAATTTGCCATAAATTGGCAAGAATAGTTTCATATGTGTGTGTTCAGTTACACTACTTTCCCCATGAATAAATTCAAGCTGTAGGTATATTTTTGACACCAATTCTAACATTCCAAATTTAGTGCACAACTGTTTATTCAGATGTAAATATTTTTTTTTTGTAAATTACACATATTTATTGGTGGAATAAAGTTATAAAAATATATTTCTTTATAAAACCATTGTGTATATTAAACTGAGCACTTAATTATAGTTAATAGAGCTTAATGAAAATGTAATCTGATTAAAAACTGACCCGATTGTAAGACAGTCTGCTCATTTATTTATTTATTTATTTATAGCAAGGCAACAGATTACAAATTAATACATTTATAAAATAAATATTACATAAAACGGCATTAAATTTGCACTCCAATAACTGCTCTGCTTAACATTTGATGTTATATACATTAAAAGAAAGAATCATATTCGATTATAATACAAATAGTTTTTTTTTTTTATTTATTTTATTTATAGTTATTACAATTTATTTTAATTAAAAAGTATTACAATAATGTTTTAATCAAAAAATAAATTAAATAAATAATCAGTCATATTTATGATGCATACTCGACCCAAAGGTCCCCATGACACTTGTGGCATTTTTTTTTAAATTATATGATTTGACTGTTTTCATTAATTTATTTTATTAATTTCTGGGCTTTTTTTATACCACTGAGGTGGCAAACAATCATACAGCCCTCCTGATGGTAAGTGGTTACCGTAGCCTATGAATACCTGCAATACCAGAGGTATTACGTGTGTGTTGCCGACCCTGAAGAAACCTCTTTATCCCCCTTTTGAAGAACCCCATGCTGTAGTCTCTTGGGAAAACCTCGGCAGGGAGCTCACTCCATAACCTGGGCTTATTTCTTTATAACAGTTTGTAGTAAGGGTGGGTAATATAGGTACAATATCCCTTTAAACTTAATCTTGCTGATTACTCTGTTTGAGTCATAGATTGTTTTTTGCTCTTCTATTACAATAAATTGTTTGATATAGTAATATTTTATTTATATTTGTATTTATTTATTATATGTATATATTTATTTTGTATATATTAGTCTAATTATATGATTTTTCTCTATTCAAAAATGTATATGTGTTTCTCGGTTTGCCCAATGGTTGACTGGTAGAGAACACCATGCAGTGTGAAGTCCGATTAATGTACATATAATTTTAATGTTCATTAAAGTTTAAATACATAAATAAAATATTTATATACATATAGGTCTGATATTTGACTGATAGGGACAATATTGAAATGGGTGATGACCATTTTTCTAACATCAATGTCTAAAATAACCCAATATATTTATTTTGGCACAGTACCACAATTGCCCATGCCTAGTTTGAAGGATGGAAAATAGCAGCAAAATTACAGGGCAAGGAGGCATAACACCTTCGTCCTCAGGAATGGCAACAATGAAGGATACCATGGACATAATAGTGTTTTTTGTTATGTCCCTGTACTGTTCGTGTCTATAGGTGATTGTTACTACTTTCCATCAGGTGGGCCTTTAGTTTGTTTCATAGCCGTACCTGGGGGGGCATTGAGGGGCAATGCCCTACCTTAAAAGGACCAGTGCCCTACATTAAAATGAAAGGCCTCAAGAAAATTAGACAGATTCACTTTTTCTAAATCGCTTAATTATGACTTCTGCCCTACCAAAAAGTTATTTTGCCCTGCCTTATACATGGGTCTAGCTTATGGCCTTGATTTGTTTGCCATTCAAAGTATAATAAAAAAAATAACGTGGATCCTTTTATATATCTTTTAGTAACAAGTGATTAGTAAAACTCGACATACCTACTGGTCGACTGCAATTTCCTCTTTTTTGTTTTAGTTTTACGAATGTCATAAATAATGTATTAGTGTATAAGTTTTCAATGGGTGCTCATCTTTTCAATGCAAATACATGGTGCAAACAATCCAACAATGTCTAATGCATAGATAGCATATGGAGCATATTCCTTTTTAAAAGGCCGTCAGCACACCTGCAATGTCGTAGGTGTTGTAGGTGACCATGGGCGGCGTTAGTCACTTACCATCAGGTGAGCCGCATGCTCGTTTGCCCCCTGTGTTGTAAAAAAAAATGCGTGTTATAATACTTATGCAGTGAGCTATTTTATTAGTGCTTTTTGATAATGGGTGAGAATGGAATGGTAACTCTGGCTGTGCTATCGGTATATGCTGGCAGGATACCAGTGAGATATGATAAATAGATAGATAGTCTTTATCACTTTTAATTTAATTTATTAAAAAAAAAATCGTTTTGCTGGTAATAGGAGCCGCCTCAGCTGTTGCTATGTATGCACACCTCCAGCGAGATGTACCTATATAGCGCTGATTTTCAGGTGGCTCCTTAACTCATTTAGCTTTAGCATGCGTGCGGATCGCCAATCTCCATTTCTCGGATGGGCGACTCGATACACTTAACAATAAATAAATAAAAAATTATAATCAAAGCTAAAAAAAAACAAACAATTTTTTTTTCTTTTTCTAGTCTGCTAATTGGCAATCTGTCCTTATAGAACAATAATACAATCTGCTGTTTGGATGTCAGGTTTAAATCTTGTTAGAATATGATGAGGCCAATCTATTAACCAGCTTTCAGTCTCTGTAAATCTTTCTACCAATCCTTGGATGCTGTGTCTTTTTAATTGAGAGAAAGTAATGCTTCCCGATCCCTGTAATTGAGCGGCCAATTCATTTCTATGGCTGTTCAATATGGACTGATAGTTTTTGCTGAATGTCTCGATTTCCTGTTTTATCGTTTTCAGTTTGGTGTCCCCGTATACATAAATTTATTACTTATATATTGTGGTATATTAAGCATGTTTCTTATTGTCTTACTTTGGAACCTTTCCAGTATTTCTATATTGCTGTTACTAGCTGAGCCCCAAAGCTGTATGCTATATGTCCAAATAGGTTCGATGATGGTTTTGTATATGGTCTTTAAAAAAACAAACTAGATGAGGACAAATGCAGGTCAGTTAGACTATCATGATGAAGTTCACAAGAATTAACCATGATGATTTCTATGGAGGTCAATCTGATAAAGTATATTGCTAGCAATAAGGCTGTTAGGTCCCATTAATAATAATTCCTTTCCCCCTATTTGGTACTGTTGTGCATATTTCAGTTGACAGGTCATATGTAGTCTGTCCATCACATGCTTCTCTGCCTGCCTCATAAGGAATTGGCATGAAGCCTTGAATATTATACATTGGAATCTAATTTACTTATTATATATGTTTAAATTTTAATGCACAAATATAAATAAGTGTACATATAGTGGACTAATTCTATTTAATTTTTGATGAATTTATCACAATGGGTCAACTGATTTATTTATTTATTTTATATATTAACAGTCTGTTATTTAAAAAAATAATATTGAATAACAGATTTTTAATATATTCGAAATAGATATTCGACCAATATGGGTGATATCGAAATGGGTGGGATCTTTTTCCTTATCAATGTACAGAGGAACCCGATATATAGATTTTTTTTTATACAACTTAGAATGGCAAACAAGCTGACTGTCCACCTGATGGAAAGTGGCAACCGTTGTACCATGGACACAACAGAGTACACTGTTTCGCCCATGATACCCCCCATGCGTTGCCATTCCTGAGGACCCAGATGTTATTCCTCTGTACCCTGTAAATTCACGCCATATCCCACAGTTCAAACCGAAACACAGCTATGTAAACGCAACTGCTTCACGGTTGAAACACGAATGGGACAGAGGTACCCAAGCAATCGACTTGTATAAAGTCTCCCTTTGGTAAATAAGATATTATATCGGTATCCATATAACCCATGCCTAATCCTTAATCCATGATTAATTGTGAATTTAATTTCTATTTTCCAATCAACTAAAAAAATATAATTTTTATTTATAGTATAAAACCTTATAACACTAAGTAAGTGTATATTTTTTTTTCGTCGAGTTTTTAATTGTACCTATTGTAATTTTTCCTGTTCAGGTTTCTATTTTTTTCTCATTGTTCAGTGAAGAAATCGTTCAAGTGATGTAATTTCGTGGCCTTGTGTTGGAAAATGATCCAATAATCTTAGTTTTTTTTTTCTAGTTGGATAGAAAAGTCTGTTTTATATATTTATCTAGTGAATTGGAACTTTAATTAATTAGAGATTTATTTTTGTTGATCATTTGTATTATCTATATTTTTATATTTGATCTGTGTAGATTATTCATTAAGATTATATTATATATATAATAAAAACTATTGAGGTCGGAAAGGAAGAAATTTTGAGACGCGATAAGCTTATTAACATCATAATAGAAGGCAAGGTAGAAG